AGCATGCTCACATCTCTGAAAAACAGATATTCTGATTTGAAATGTGCATTCCTTGTCGGAATGTCTGTTTTTTGTTTTGGTCTGTGTGACTCCGCCCACTGCCAATTTACCCAATAGGATTTTGACACCACAGGTTGGCAGAAAACACAGCATATTGCAGCCATGGAATCCAGCAAATGAACTGGGTCAGAAATCACAGACTCTACCCGACTTAAAACGCGTCGGCATCCATCTAAAAAGCTCTGTGGCCAGAGGAATATTAAATACAGATAAATCAATTCATCAAATTGTGTCGAGTACGGCTGTGTATCACCAGCAAAGTCACGATACGAATTTTGAGCACAAAGTATGTGCATCTGCAAATGTAATTGTCTAGTTTATTATTTTTTATATTATTCATTTATATCAGAGTTGTGAAGGGGGAACTTTCAGGAAAGTTTACATTTGTGTGCAAAACGATCCCTAAACCTTTCGTGGCTTGTTATATTTAACACACAAACAACATTAATGTAATAGTTAGGGCTGGGCAATTTTTCCGATTTTATCAATTAATTTGAATGTAATGTTTTGCCACGATTTTATTTTTTTATAAATCAAGAAATCACGATTTTGAATAGAAATATTACCAAACGTTAGAATTAGACACTTTGACAGCATGCCGATGTTAAGAGTAAAGAGAAATGAATGATTGACTGTTGATTATTTTTACAGAACATTTATAGTTAATAATAGTCTACTGTTGTTATACCTTCAGTCATTCTGAATTTGAATAACCTTGACTTTTGAGATTTTTGAAGCATTTTCCTCTTATTATTTCTGAACATATAATATGTGTAAGACAAGGTTGTACAAGATGTAGTTGTAGTTCATGCATCTTTTCTGCAAAGATATTTAACAAGTGATTTGTTTAACATTTACATCATGTGTGGTGCACTTGAAATAGAAATTTCTTTAACTAGAGGGTTATTAAAGAAAAAAGTAGCTTGAATCATGTTGACTAGTTAAAAATCGAGAATCGGACAAATGTGACCCTGGAGCACAAAACCAGTCATAAGAGTCAATTTTGTGAAATTGAGATTTATACATCATCTGAAAGCTGAATAAATAAGCTTTCCATTGATGTATGGTTTGTTAGGATAGGACAATATTTGAAAATCTGGAATCTGAGGGTGCAAAAAAATCTAAATATTGAGAAAATCATCTTTAAAGTTGTCCAAATGAAGTTCGTAGCATTGCATATTACTAATCAAAAATTAAGTTTTGATATATTTACGGT